ATATATANAATATATATAATATATATATATATATATATATATATATATATGTATATCTATATGTATGTATACACACACACACACACACACATATATATATATATATATTTATATACATATATATATTTATATATATATATGCTTCATTTTTTCCCCTTCGTTGAGCGACTCTATTGACCCATTGCTTGGTGTGATCTATTGGCCACATATGCCTATCTAACTGTGATCAGCTCTAATCAACTCATATTTCCTTCTCAACAGTTTGTTCTGCCCTTAGCCCATGAAGGAGGTACGCATGAAATGTTCCTGTCTGAGTTCAGAAACTCACAGTGCTTTGTGACATCATTGTTGGAGTACCAGACCAAAGGACAAGATGCTCGCCCCGCAATAACCATCACATCGTACACCCATTTCGCACAGGTATGTGTTATGTGTGAGTAGCTATATGAATGTATTAGTTAAAAATTTGTCAGTATGCATCTATTTGTACGCTGAATTTTGTATCAGGGTATTTTGGCGTAGCTGGTCGTTCGTGTGTGCATATAAATTCGTCGTAGGAGGCGTTGCGTGTTGTATATGGATATTAGTGGTGGACATTATATAGACGCAAGCTCGTGTGTACAAAATATCTTGCGCTTGGTATATATGTATATATTCATATATTTTTATATAGTATATTATGTGTATATACATATATTTGAATAAAATTGTTTATGTATATGTATATATGTATATATGTATATATATTGTATATATGTATATATATATATATATATATATATTTATATAGTAAAGATATTACATCTATATATATATATATATATATGTGTGTGTGTGTGTAACTATATATCTTTATATATATATTATATTACATATTACATCATATTACATAGTATATATATGTTATTTATTATATATATATATATATGTTTATATATATATATATATATGTTTATATATATATATATATGTTTATATGTATTCATATATATATATTTATGTGTGTGTGGATGTATATTATCAAGTAATTGTTTCCGTATGTATTGGCTATCATACAAGCGTGCGAGTCTTTTCTGCTGCGTATAGGGAGACCCATAAAGAAGGTTGATTAAGTACCGTGTTTCTTTTATCTTGGACAGGAAAAGGACCTGGTGCTTGTCTTGGCGGAGTTCAACAAAGACATGATCACAAAGGCGGGGGCAGCTTCATTACTTGGACAGGTATTTGCATGTTGTTAAGTATAATACCTCATGTGATTTAGATACGAAAGGCGCGATTGTTTTGTTGCCTTTGCGTGTTTCATTCAATTCAACCGCTTGCCTTAAAGTGAAGCTCGCACGATGGGTGACCTGTCAGTTGCATAGTGAGAGTATCATAAGCCGTACTGTGGATGCCCTACAGGTCGTACTGTGGATTTTCGATGAGTCGTATTGGCCGGGGGGTTTTTAAACTATGATGTTTCTGCTCGTAGAATAGTTGTCTAAATGGATGCATGTGTACGTGATACAGATTGCGACATCAGAAGCGTGCATACAAGCCACCAATCTGATGTGAAGCCCCTTGCAATTTTGATATCTGTGCAATTCGTACACCTTACTGACTACATAGCGGGATTTTATGATAGCTATCAAGTATTTCACTGTTTTCTTATGTCACTATTTTTTAATTTTACTATTTTCTTTTCTATATCTTGGCTGTAGTAAAATATGAAATGTAACACCTCGCAAGGCAATAATAGTCGGACACTCATCGTGCAGCTATGTCTATCAGACCATGATTTTCCATAAACTTGCTGGGCATTGTTGGATTTAATATATTACTCAGGTATGGCCTGCAAAACAATCTGAGCTGACTTTAAAATTAACTTGAATCCCGATTTCCATTCTCCACGAATAGCTGGAAGTGCTTTACAACCAAAGCACAGAGGAGCAGTTTGCGGTGGTGCGACAGTTCAATCATGACCCCCAGAACTTCGACATCCAAACACTTATCCCCAAGGCAAAGGCAGAGGATTTCACCGCCCCGGCCGAATAAGAAGCCGCGCCAAGCATGGACATTAGGCTTAAATTACCACATATGAAAGAATAATGTCCTCCATGCACCACTTGTAAGGCAACAGGACCTTAAAACCCCACATGTGAGAAAACAAGGCTTAATTGCGGGGTATATGGAGGAATTGAATTGGACACGCAACATTCGGTCAAACGCACAGACAGCACCGATCGATTAGGGCGGATATATTGATATAGCAAGCTTGAGAAGAGCACGTGTATGCCCTCTCTCACACATACAATCGAAGCCAAAGTATTCCCCAAGACCAAACGGCTGGGCCGAGTCGTGGGAAGAATTACGTGCGTTGAATAACACGTGAGGAGATCATGGCTCAAAATATCTCATGTGTGAAAATAAAGGCTGCGGAGAGCACTTGTGAGAGATTAAGGATGGATAATCAACACGCGTGACGAAGTAAGGGTTTAAAGCTATTACGGACTGTTTGTCGCTGCTTACTCATACTACAATCAGAGGCTTGGTCTTGTGACCAAAATAACCCTTAATAAAGTACGGACCTGTATTCGATAGAGATCAGCATAGCGCTGCCTACCGTTGTGTTTCAAGTCTTGACCCAGACACGCGTACTACACCCGGGAAGACGTAGTCGCACACCACAGAGTGATTTAGATATCGGACAACGCGCTTGTGCTTATAGTTTTAGTAGGTAGTTCAAGGGCGGACAGCTATACTCGTTTGGAGAGGTAGGCAGAAATTTGGTTAAAATATTACAGGCTGCACGCACGGAGAAGGCAGTTTCAGGCTTAGCACTTGTGTAATTCAGATCCCAGACGTATAGCAAAGAAAATATGGAGTGTCGGGTTGCGCGTTTTTATTTGAGGTACTAGCGGGCAAGTAGTGGGAGCCTGTCATAAACACTATGCGAGGTATTGGGGTTCTAACTCGATATTTGCGTACTTTCTCAGTTGCTATCAACTTATAAAAATCTTTGCAGGAAAAGAACCTACAATCACTAAATGCCTGATCAGTGAAATCTAGACTGTTCCCGGGCGGCATTCGCATACAGAGGCACCGATTAAAGGTATCGACAAGTTCAAAATAGACTTCTGGATGTGTTTGTGTTCACTGCCTTGTGTGGCGGAGCACTTTATGCGGCGATGCACCGTAGCAAAAGATAATACAGTAATAATGTCCCAACAGGGCGATCGGTAAGTATTGACCTGTACGATTTAACGAACCTGGGTTGGATCCTAATAATTTGGTTTATAGTACTATGGAGTTTGTGAAAACTCCATTATGTGGCATGTTTATATATTGATGTGTATTCTGTTGAAATTTCTTGGCTTAGTAGGAAAATTCATAGTATAAGGCTATCGCTCGTATTACACTCCAGAGCCAATATATCGAACGAAGGTGTAATTTAACGGTTTCGGCGTGACGTCGACATCTGTGTGCGACCGTAGTCTAGGCATATTCGATGCATGTTTCTGTCGATAATAGCAGGAACAATTCTGGTGACAGTGAGGCGAACTGCAAAGACTGACTGTACCGGGAATATATTGTGGGTACCTAGATTGAGCATATCATGCTGTTCCAACAAGCATATGTTACTATAGAAGGAGCATATGTACTTTGCCGTAAACACGAAGTCTACAGTATTGATTCTGAGGTGTGGAGATCAACATATGCCCCTTTTAAAACCAGTATTGGTTCATCAGCAACGCTCAGAACTGACCCTAGTCAGACACCAGACTCTCAATTGTCAGATTGTCGGATTGAGGTACAACTTCAAATCAATCCAAACCTATCGACCGCCACGGTGGTGCCAACTGACGAGCTTCATGCCCGGTAACGAGGCAAGAGTAGGACAACAAAAACTGTCTGCAAGTATGTCTGGATATAGACTGCCAAGGACTGACTAATTAAGGGCAAGCCGTGCCTGCCGCCAACAGTATTTCATGTCGCCGATAGACCACTTGTATTCCGTTGCGGTCACAAGGTACTTATGAGTTGACTGCTTTCGATTTACATCCTCACTGTTGACTCCGTAACAACGACAAAGCCCAAACGTGCCACAGTCTGGCGCACTTTGATAATCTCTCGCTTGCTTTCTGAATTATCGTACATTGTCAACACGCCCGAAGATTCGAACAGTTCTATTAAGTCCTTCAAGCTCTGTTCCAGCACGAAAACAAGTTCTGACACTAACAGACCTTTCTTTGCTATTATACCGGCATAAATCTTCATAAATGAAGCTATTTGTCCACTGGCGATGTTTACTGGATAAGCTGCACCTGGCAAGACATATTTTTCCAGAAAGGCTTGAGCTCGCCTTTCCTTCTCTTCGACAACTGATGTTGCAAGGCATTCTTCAGATCCGTCTCCCAGAAAAGCTAGCAGATTGTCGGTATCGCGAATAAAGAGCAAGATTTCCTCACAAAACCGCTTCTTTGCGCACACAAGTAGCACTTCATAGAGTTCACCATCTTGCATGATTGGATCTAAACCCGAATTTACAAGACTCCCGCGCCGGGGTGTGGGCCTCTTGGAGTTGTAAGATAGCTTGAGACGCACCCAATATGTCTGCCACAATGCAGGGCCAATCAGTTCCATATTCGTCACCCAGACCAGGATAATGATTGCATGAAATTGATCGGGCATATTGCAGGTGGGGTGGAGCAGGGCGAGAAGGAGCCCTATATAGCACAGTGTGAACAATATCACAATACACATGTGGAGGGTCATAGCAAACTGTTTCTGAAGATACTTGCAATTCCTCAGTGTGACAACATAGAATATGATCTCAATGACGATGAGGGCGAACCCCACCCTCGCGCCCCAACCAATCAACCAGAAGTATTCAGGAGGTCCGAACGCCAGCCATATCGTGCAGTTTGTGACAGCGCATTGAACAACGGCTCGCAGAACAAGCCATTTGTACTGCACATCGTAGACAGACTTAATGAACACCAAGTACATGGCACGCAGGCGAAGAAGGGGGGCCATGATAAAAAACTGAAGACAAAAGCTGATAATAAAAGAATTCAACGCCAACCTCCAATTGCTGTTGATCCAATTACTGTACGTGAGGGTGCTGTACTGCGAGTTCAAGTCGGCCACGAGAATGAGCACACTCATCGAACACACGTGGAACAGAAAAATCGGATTCAGTACGGCCAAGGCTGGGTCCCGGATATTAAGGGTGACCAATACGCATACCGTGAGCACCATCAACATGGTAACACAGTATATCACCCCAAAATAAATATAAACCTGTTGGAGATAAGGTTCTATGTTCATCGAGTACTTGAGCCAGATATTCTTGGATTCCGCTTCAGACACATTATCATTCTCTGTCAGCAGATTTTCGAAGTAGAAATGCGCTATACCTGCATAGATCCATGCGGGTATCCACACCAACAGCCAGTATATATTAGTCTTATACTTATGCCACCATTGAACGACGATACGCCTATTACTATCACTGCTTGGTAGGCTTCTCACCGGTATATTATTCTTCCTCCTCGTCCTTTCTGACAGGCAAACTGCTGAATTGTAAGCGTCTGTGCCAGAATGACTTCCGGCGGAATTATCCAATATAGGGCTCGCGGTCACTATGTCGATCGCTCCACGCTTCGTCAAGTTGCTGATCTTTGCATACTTGCTGACATCTGATTGCGTGTATACATTCCCACTTTCAAGTTGGGTGGAGCTACTACAACTCATGCTGTCCAAGATGTTTGCTGAGGAAAGTACAGTATATGCAGGGCACCTCCCCTCCGTCGGGTTTCTTGATGTATTCGTGTTATGCGTTGTCGCTAAGTACTTCCGTGGTGGTGGTTGTGGACTGGTAGGAATGTAATCTGATCTTGATTCGCTGCGGCACTCAGGATTTGCCACAATCTCTATATTTGTACTCTTTTCTCTCGGAGGCACTTCCACAATACAAAAGGCCTGGGCTGTTGCTGTTGAAAACGTATGTCCTTCACGGCAGGATTCGTGTTCACCCGTCCATACGCCCTTAGGGTGCTGGTCAACGCATTCCGGTGCTTTCGCATGGGATTCAGCGTCCACAGAAATCACTGAGTCTGTTTCATGAAATGAATGCATACGTGTTTCCGATTCAAAATTGGTTTCTGCCTCTTTCACCTCTACTAATATCCATGATACGGGACTGTCACACCCTTTAAATCGTACCTTATCAACAGGCAAGTACTGTATCAATGTATGGACTAGGATTTATATCAGTCTTCATATTTCTTTTAAAGATGCATCAATATTAGCACCCTCTTTTTTAGAAACGACAAATGCAGTAGTGGTGCAGATATTTATATATATATATATAATTTTTTTTTTTGAAAGATATTTACCCTGATGACTCGCTGGAGTCGGCTATAGCAGCATAGCGGGGCCGCGCCAAAGGGTCAGGCGGTCAGCTGACTCGACAGACTCAGTCGGCTTTGGTTGATGGAGTGTATTGTTTTATGTATAAAAACCCCTTTTTGTGAAATAATATTTTGTTTGTATTGTTTAGCCTAGCCTTCTATATAAACACTTGTGCTTTTTTTATAAAAAAGAAGCAAATATGTCTCCAACATACTGAAAGACTAAACAATATAGAGTATTTATGAAATAAATATGTACTAACCTAAGACAGCCTTCTTGTTTGATTTCATGTTTCAGAAGGCTATGTTGTAAAAGGGTCCAAATAAAACCCCTCTAGAATTAAGGCAATTTGTTTTGAAACAAAAAACAAAGTTGAAAGCGTTGAATTTATTATTTTATCAAAAATTAAGAACCGTTCCTGACTAGCTAAATCTGGAATTCTATTTATTCCCAATACCTTTTTTTTTTTTTGGCATTTTTCAAGATTAAGTATTTTGAAAATGATCTGCGAAGGCGCCAAGGTCGCAGTACAAGTAGAACACCTTCTATGCGTAGGAGTTTAACACTACATCGGAATCCTCCAAAACGCGATTATTAGGTCTAAATAAGCATAATTAGTAAAGTTCCAATGTTGTCACGTACAAATATTGTCCAAACAATATCGTATATGCGTTCTTATATCCATAATGCAAGCTACAGCTGCTAAAATCGAGAAAAGGTGTATTCGCGGCATTTGATGTGCATTGCCATCGATTGCACGACGAATCTCATTTCCTGAACTTTTTGTCAAAATTCACTAAATATTCACCCACATACGATTAAAAGCACATTATTATGGTTTAATTATGGTTATGTAAGTATAACGAAGGTCTAAAAGATACAACGAAGCCATGTATTTGGATACGCACACCAAATGGTTGTCACTGATTGACTTGCATGCACTTGAATGGTGATTTTGAGCAAGTATAATAAGCCCTCTATACCATGATAATGGGCTCTGAAGTAATCATACTTATATTTATTATATATGAGAACCTTAGAAGGTTCAAGATGTTATTAATACGCGACCCGGAAATCCAAGATATGACATGGTCGAAAGTGCACAATCGTGTTCATTCATCGATACATAACTCATGAACCAATAGAGCTATCAACTTGGCGCCTTCGCAAAATTCTTTTTAAATGTTTTTTTTAAAACAAACAAACAAAATGTACCAACCTCTACGATGATTTTTTAATAATAATTATGTTAGTACGAGCGAACGCATCGAGCCACGTAAATATTTATAAAATAAATATGTATGTAAATATGTGGAAAATTTAGAATTTTTGCATATATTTTTAATTTAACGCATTAGAAGTTAAAATTACATTCTTGCTTCAGGGATGTAGTATTCAGTTCGAACTTCCAAATAATTTTTTGATATTTATTTTCATCGCCTCCTAAATTGTAAAATTGAACAATATTTTTAGAAGGAAATATAAATACATACGCTAAACTTGAAAATTTAAAAACAAAGACAAATAGATAGATATTTACGTTTATTTCAAGTGCTTCCCATCTGTCATTTCTTTTTTTAACATCTAGACAAGATGAATTATTAACCCCCATCCATAGCCTCCTTTTTATTTTTTAGAAAACATATATTCTCACACTACTCGATTTTCGAAAATCCAGTCTTGAAAATCCGCTGAAAATTCAATTCGAGCTAGAATCATAGCCTTCCGATTTTGAGTCGTAGTCTCCGGGTGTAGGACGATACATGAATTTTCCATTAGCCTTCCTAATCTATGGGTCGGTAATCAATTGTATCAATTTGTATTCGCCTGTGTATTTCCATATTAAATGATATGTATCAGTATATAGTGTATGTATTAAAATATAGAGTATGAATGATCTAGCGTCTAGATGCCACACATATCAATATTTAGACATATATATGTCTGCACATCATAACATACCAATATATAGTCAATACAAGTAGTTACAATTTGCATGTAAAAGTACGTACTTGTACATATACATGTACATGCACAT